CAGAACATGCGAGAATGTAAGACACCTATTTAGGAATATTCAATAAATATATTAAAAACACGTGGTTGAGATCAGATCGTGACTACTGTTAACAAGGCACAAGAAGAACTATCCCTGCAGATAATCGGTAGGATAATGTATCTTTTAAACCAGAATATCCGGCTTATCAGGGGAGTAGACTGCGCAGCGGCAATAAAGCTTTTGTGTATGGTGAGGATGTGTGCGTTTAACCTTCCGTGGCAACGAGTAGGAAACGAAATAAGAATGAGAAAGACTGTTTACTTACCGCTCGAGTTATGGCTGAAGATATTCGAGGACTTTGGTAATTTGTGTGAATATTCAGATACATGTATTGCTAAGCTTATACAATACGGGTTATGTAAAAAGACATTGATTAGATCTTTGACCAAGAGGTCGTTTCTGAATTTTGTATTCGAGAGTTGCGACAATTTAGAGGACCTTTTGATGTATGCTTGAGTTTCGCGTACGAATAAGTGACGAGAAAAAATTTAAAATGTATGATATACAAAACAAAAAACTGTAAATTCTAATTTAGTTATACAATAAAAGTAAGCTTCTGGTAATTGACACGATGAAAAATAGTCTATACGCAATGAATTAAATCCATTTTCATGGTTACCAATAGTTTAGAGCATAAAAATCTGATCCATCAATGTAGCGAATAGAAAAGCATCTCTCGCTTAATGAACTGATGCACACTAGTCCTTATTCTTACAGAATGAAATACTCTGCATTCTGAAACCGTTGGCTCAATCCTCCATATTAATATGCAATGATTTACTTACAATAATCTTTGTCTCAATAAAGAACCGAATGTTTAAAACTGTGCGTAGCAACATTTTTACACAAATTGACAACGCTCTCATTCCTATTACGCCCTTGGAATATATGTTTAATTTATGGTCTGAGCTAATACTAATACTAATACCGTACAGTTTCGAAAGTAAGCGCTCACACTAATTAAATAGACAAAGGATTGTAAAATTCGTTCGTTATTAAGGGTAGATTTGTTTGTTATTAGAATTTCGCAAATGAAGTTCTAATGAATCCGCGTCAACTCGAAAATAATTCTACAACCCTGTTTTTGGCTTTCGCTACATCCTTTTCTGCTCACTGCATGCTAGGTTTTGTAGCTATTAAGCATTATGATATATTGGATGGTAGACGATTTCAAAAAATAAAAACCGAACAACGCGTCGGTGTTACTTGTCAGCCGATAGTATGTTCACGTGATCGTATAACGTCAGAACATGCGAGAATGTAAGACACCTATTTAGGAATATTCAATAAATATATTAAAAACACGTGGTTGAGATCAGATATTACCAGAAAAATTGATTGGGTATGAAAAAATGCGGTTTAGAACATGCACCAACAAGTCTGTCAATCCACTAAACTATTTTTTCGCAAGTATCAAACAGAATTCATGTGAAATATGTGCGTTGGCAACAACTTGGACTCTGGGCTTGCCATTGGTCGTTTTATATAATGTTCTGGTGCAACAGAATCGTGTACCGATCTTTGATTCCAAACACAAGGGTGACATACGAGAATGCATCATCGAATGGCGTCGATACATTTTATTTACTGTAATTAACGCTGATGTCATATCGTAATTAATACTGATGTCATACCCAAAATCTCTCTTTTTACTGTATGTGTCTTGTCGTCTCCCAATCACGGCTTGTGATCGGTTCAAAAATTTTCGCATATTCCCTCCCTCCCCCACCCCCCAACTTCCCCCAATTTCATTCCAATAAACTGTTTGAGTCCACTGTACTCAACCGTCCTTCGGACAGACGGTCGACATGCTTTCGAGCTTTTTATTTTTTTAGTAAAATTTTTTCTTATTCTTTTGCGTTTGTACTTATTTAAATAGAATCAAAGCGCGGTTATCATAAATACATACTATGTACAGGTGGGGTAAGTAGATGAACTGAGGTTTCAAGTGGGAAAATAATAACACAGAAAAAAAGTGCTCGAATAGAAATAGAAATAAGAAATAAGAAATAGAAAGCATAAAGCAACGTATATAACTAGTATCCATCCAAAAATGGATGAAGATAAGCATATTAGAGATAATTGAATTATATCGACTGTAAATCGATTTAGTTCTCCTGACTTAGCCCCACTCTTCTCTTTGTCGTAACAATTCCAAATGACAGAAATGCTGTTGTATAAAAACAAGTGATTATGAAAAAGAAAATTACGCGCGAAAGAGGTCAAAAATCCTCCACCAGACAGAAACAATCTTACAAAAATTTTTAACTGCGCTTGGTTCTAAAATTCAGTCGAATAATTATCTAATGCGCTTCTAAAATCACATTTATCACAGACTCGCCTCACACCTCATGCTCTCCCTCTCCCTCCCCATCCCCTTCTCTCGCTCTCTCGCCCACCTGACTCAAACAACTTTCGATCCATCTCTAAACTCTCAGCATCGCCATAATAGTCTCCAAATTAACAACCACAACACCATATTTCGGTAAGACCTCTTCCATCAGCGTATTTTGTACTGATTCGCTAGCATCGAAGCAGCAATCGCGTACAACGACGACTTTAAAGTCCCTATCAGCAGCAGATTGTATGGTTGCTAGAACTACCCCGCCAGTGTCGATTCCTGAAAGTACAACTTGACGGATATTACGTGATTCAAGGACCATTTTCAGTTCTGTATTGTAGAAGGCATCAATGCGGCGTTTCTGCATGTTGAATATAGGGGTTGGAATAAAAGACTAAGTTAGTTGGTTGCAAGCATGAGGTTTGGTGCTGGATTCACAGCAAGTAAAGTGCAAGTCATATGCGAATAAGTTAACGTCATGTAAACGTCTGCTAAACAATACGAATAATGTTTAGGCAGGAGTTTGCATGATGTTTACGTATGGCACACGACTTCCCTTTTTTTTTGCCATTTGTAAAGAGGAGGTGCGTGGAATGGAAACAAAAGAAGTTATATCAGACTAGCGGAAAAGAGCAGATATAAAAGTGGACACGAGAGAATGGAAACAAATACAGTAAGTATATTATAAATTTTTCGGATATAGACCTTAATAACGATATCGCCCTAAAAAAAACGTAATGGGAAAGAGACACATTATAAGCACTAGGCAAAAGAAAAAAAAAAACGTTCAATATGCAACAACTAGCCGACCTCGTGAGGTACTAATCCGTCAATAAACTCGGCCCCTTTAGTTCCTTCAATGAGCCTGCCGAATTGCTTCCACAATGAGAAATGTGTGTTGTGAGGCGATACTTCAGGATACCCTTGTCGGAACTAGACAATGCATATGAATTTAGTAAGAGGTGAGGATAAAAAGTCGATTCGATCAAACATGGATTTTATAAAGCCGTTTCCGGACATATATGCATTATTATGGCAAAGTCAACTTACACAAACACCAACAGAAATAATTGCAAGATTCTTCTTTTGCCTATGCTGGTGTACTGACCGGAAAAGGTTACGCGATTTGGTCAAACATTGGTTTAGACTCGTGTTGTTCTGATACCTAGTGAGTTCAAAACACGAGAGTAAATGAAGGGGTGTTTAGTTATCGGATCTATGGAATTGAGTGATGAAGATTATCAGTGTAGTATGTAATCTAGCATGTAGCACATACACATACTTCAGTAACACAGACGCAATTGGGTGTTTCGTGTCGTTGTCTAAAGCCCTTAATCTTCACTAGTAAAATGAAACGAAAGAGAAAGGCGACTTACGTGGCAATGACATCGTTTTGGTAATCGCAGAAGACGAATCTAGAAATTTAGAATTTTTGTAGATATGAGATATCGCAGCAAACGTTGTTATACGCGCTTATTGGTTGCTGTTTCCCATTGCTGTCACAGTGCGACTAATCCCTATCTTGATGCTTGTCAGATCCTTTTCCTCATAATCATCCCGACATACTTACGCTGTGTTATCCAGTGAAAAATGTGACATGGCATCAATAGTAAACATGCGTGAAGGAGTGAACGGAGTCCCCAAAGTACTTGAGGACGTGCCAGTGTAAGGGATGAAGGGTGAGCCTGACGGGGGTCCCATCGAGATTGTTGTTGCCCCATTAGTTCTTGAAGGTTGTGAGGTGGTGTAGCTGGTGGTTGGTGTCTAGTTGGATGGATTTAAAAACATGTTGCGAGTGATACAAAAATAGATTGGGTATAGTATTGTGATGCATGTATATTAAATGATAAGAGAAAGAAGTTAGTGATGTGTAGATGCTTAGTGATCATTATGTGATAGGTAAGTTAGTCATGAATATGCGCAATTATCACTAGCAATCATGTCATCATTGGTGGACGTAATCACTTGTGACATATCCACGATAATCCCAATATAAATTGTGGTTTGCATTGGGAAAAAAAAGCGCCCACGCTCTCTACACCAAAAGTCTCTTATCGTTTCCGCATTCTCATTAAAAATTCGAATTGCCCCTCTAAACAATCACAATGTTGTCCACCCTCACTACGCCCTCAAAAAAACCCACTCTTCTTACCAAATTGATATAGGGTTGATGTTCGGAGGAGGAAAGAACGGACGTGCCAGGCATAGTCTGCGGCTGACTGACTGACAAGGAAACCTCATTGGTGGTGGTATTATCATTATTTCTTGGTTGATGCCTCGTTTTGAACTTTGATATCCATCCATTGGACGCTTGAAACTCGTTTCTAATGCCATACATTTGCGCAAATTCCAACGCCTTTGTTTGCAGTTGAGCGTCACTGACGGCCTCTCCATTCGTAGCGGTCATGGCCAACCAGTCGGCTAGGGCGGTCTCTATCTGTGGAAATTTAGGGGACTTTTGCGTCTTTTGCCTCGCGTGGTTTGAGGCAGGGTCTATCGATAACCATCTTTCGCGCTGCTTGAGGATCTTGGTTATAGTGCTTCTATCCAAGCCATACTCTCTAGCGAGGTCCTCGTCCCTGAGTTTTCCGTTGTCTCTTTTCTTAATGCAAATCTCTTGCTTTGTTAAAGCGGTGATGGGAACCCGTTTTTTCTTTGCTTTAGGCTCTTGGGGCATTATTTTATTAAAGGAAGAATAAGCCCTAGTTAAAAGGTTCAGTTGGTGGGTTTAAATCCAACTGTTTGTTAAAGATATATATCAGATTGTGCCTCGAGTTTGTTGGAGTAATAATGTTTTTGCAGGTGAGTTTTAGGGGGAGATGATGTCAGAAAAGATGGCCAATCATAGAAAGAAAACGGAGGGTGAGGGGACGGGAGTGGGACCTTGTGATCAGTCTGTGTGAATGTGATATACTGTTAATAGGTTTTTAATAATGCACAGAAACGAGACTGGAAACCTGTTTGTTGTTCCTAAAAAGCGATTAAATTCTTTGAGGCGGAGTATCATCCCCGGTGGGGTGACTTTGCATTATGCAGGTCAGCGGTGAATTTGCCCCGCATCTCCGTCGAGAGGGGTTAACAATGTTTTGAGTCGATTATCCAGTTGATACAATTAATTTACTGGCATATCATACACAAATTCATTCTTTATACATTGTCGATAATTTTTGTTGTTCTTGTGTCTCGCCGTTTCCGTTGCTATAATTTCCAAATGTAAACAACAAACAGTCAATCAAAATACAAGAAACAGTACCTGGTAAATGAGTGCTATGTGAAATAGATCACAGAATCACAATTGAAATACTGTGGTCATTAATGATTCTATTAGCCAACGGCAAGTATGTGGCTGACCAATAGCAAGATCTGTAATATCATCATCAACTTAGATAATCAATCGATGTAAATCGCAAGCTCACAAGGATGTATTACAAGAACCTGTGACGTTAAATATTGCATACTCAACAACTGTTAATGGTGAGACAGTAGAGTGGATGGGTGGGTATGCAAAATGTTAAGGGAATGGCCGCATATGAATAATGACGTATTATAGAATGTGGTACTACGGAAACTATACAGTCACGGTACATCCACAAATGCATACCGAAACAGTTGGTTGATGCGAAAACGTTGCCCGTCTTTAAAACTGCGGTAAAGCATTCCCATCGAACCGGCAATGTCTATCATGCGGAACAGACTCGGATTAGTCATCAAGAACACTTATGTAAAACTTTAAATTGACACTTTTGCCTAACAAAAAACGGTAAACCATCTGTGATAGAACGGGAGATATACTGTTGGCATTATCACTTTTGTAGAGTGCGGAGGAGCAAACCATTCCAAAACTTGTCTTGTTGTGAATGCTCTCTAGTGTCTTGAATTTTACAAACCGAAAGATTAATAATAAATATTGTTTATAACAATATTTGTTTATCGCTATTTGATATAATATAAATTTAGGTAACAGATGATGCCTCATTTTGTATTCAGAGTAGTTAACATTTACAGTAAGCTTTCAACATATTTTTTTCTATCGCGTTTTATCAGACGTATACATTAAACAAAGATGTTACTTAAAGGTCATATCAGAACGTCTCAACAAATAAACGATATCGCGAGGTACAAAAATTTTCACTTCAATACGTATTGATCTTTGGTATGCTATTCATATAATTCAGATAACGTTATAGTAAGGAAATAAAATTACGATCAAATAAATTATATCGTGTCTATTATTAACCGAAACAACTGTGTTAAACGTTACGAAAATTTATTTATGAGATCAGACAAGTGCCAACACATGCTCCGAAAACTGATTTTTTTATGCCTCTGTTTACAGCTGCCTTCACTGGTTTTCCTTTTAATTCTATTTGTTTCTACTTATTCTTCGCCAAAACACTAATGTAATGCACAACGATAGTCAAAAATTCATCATTGTACATTGATAATAATTTCTATATTAATATTACAGAAAAGTCGAATAGGCTCATTCACGGTCAATTGCAAATGAAGTAAAAACTATCGACGTAAATTCTACAGCGCATTGCTGAGATTAAAGAAACACCAACTTAGTCTTGTGTCACTGTTACCTGTAGTCACTAATTGCAAAAATAGTTTATATCGTTTTAGGCGTTTAATAAATTTAAGCCAAACGGAAATTAATTATAATGTTTCATCATGTTGGTGATAATCATCTCGAATTGTCACATCGGTTATCACACAAGCCTTTAGCAGACAATTCGTTTGGTTTTACTACATAGTCAAAGCAAGAATTATTCGACAATGATAGCTTTTGTTTGTTCTCGAACAGTTACTTTGTCGCTGAATAAAATTTATCTAATTGCTACTGCATTAAACTATTCGTTCACTTTTTTATGTTGCGTTTCATAAATTCTTCCTTTCAGAACTTTCTAAAGGTTTCATTGGCAGGTTTGGTTACGGAACAATATGCCAAGTCAAACGATGTAAACAATTTATAAATGCGTATCGAATTTTAGTCTTATCATGAATACTCTTATTCGTGATTTTTCCATGGGCAATCACTTTTCTAGAAACATTTTGTGTGCACGTTGTGCATAGTCACGAAGATTTTATCCAACAAAGACGATGCCCTACTTTCTACAAAAGCTTTATTATGTTTGACAAACTCTTTGTCTTTTTCCATATTGATTGTACTTTATTGTGTGTAACACATCCGCATACGAATGCTTGTTATCAAGAGGGTTAGGTGGATAAGGTGAAATCCATATTAAATGACACTGTTTGGCTTACCCTGGCGTTTCTACTTTGGTTAACAGTTAAAATTTTACATGAAATCTCCCTGTCAAAAGGCTTCGTCACAAAACCTCTAATTTTGAGGATTCTATTATTCATGTATACTACGCAAGTACGTATAAATGTCAAGGATGTTTTTGGTGGGAAAGGGCTGAGTGTATAATTAGTGTGCCAAAATAGTTCGTAATGACGAACGTTTTTTAATAAAAACGATGGGTGGTATAGGAGTCTGGGTTAGTCATTCAATACATATGAGGCTATACAAATACTGTTATCATTCGTCGTTTATAGTGAGCTTTTGATATATTAAACATTCTTTCCCTATAGTAACATTGTGTACTAGACATTTTGTCACAAAACTCTTTATCCGGACAAACTCGCGCTGTGGTCCGATCACTTGTGATGTCGATTATGCGCTTTCTTAAATTTAACACAAATTTAGTACCTATAATTTGTTATACGACTCTTCTATACATCCTACGCTAAAAGTAGTTTTAGGTCCTTTATTGCCTCAACATATTTTTGAGATATAAAACTCTTATTTAAGCTGATTTTCGTATTGACACTTGGACAAGAATAATATCTGACGTAAAAGACAAATCCTTATAATCACACGCTTTCGCAGGTATCCATAATCTTGCTCACGGATTAGGATACAGTTGCTGTTTTAATTAACAATCGGTAAAAACATTTATTGAGACAAACTAGACAAATTTTAGAATATTCTTCACGCTCAACGCTCCGGTGTCTCTAACATATCGAAAGACTGATACATGTGAAAATCGCAAAGACTAAAGCAGCTATAAGAAGGTTTATTAGCCCATCTTTCTACGAACAGTATATAAAATATCAATTATTGTCTAGAGTCCATTACCTGTTCCAAACTCACCGAGTCTTAAACAAATACATCTGCAAGTAAAATTTGTTATAAAATTGTCGGGTCTGAGCAATTTTTTTAAAACTTTCGTGATGTAAAAATGTTCTAATGATGCCGATATAAAATTTCTATATCTCGGCCTCTCAAGTTCAACTATGCCTGGATGATTTCAAAGATTGCGCAAAAATTGTTGACAAAATAAGCTGATAAGGCGGATAAAATATTATCGTTGAAAGTCTTTATTTCATTTTGTAATACATGCACAAAACGTTGGTTATTTGGGTAATATGATTATGCTATTGAATGCGGGACATCCAGAACAGTTGTTTTGCGAATTATCTTTTGCTTTCTGGTCGTTTATTTGATGTGCTACAGGGTTGATTTTTATTTCTAACAGGAATTAATCAAATTTTTACCTATATTATTATTTTTTTATGAATAAATTAGTGAATAATTTTTATTTTATTGTATTTGGCCTTTCTAATATACAATATCAAATTTTTTATAACGAACAAAATTTATATAAAATTGATTTGGGTTGAAAAAAACCCCCTTCTTATTATTTTATCTATAATAATAACGGGTTAACATCAAAGAATACGAAAATCATCTTGCTGACGCGGAAGAGCTTGATTCACATTCTCATGGCGCGCGTTTGGGATTTATTTGTCGCGCATGGGTCAAAAACTAACGCAGGGACTATGTCTGTTCTACTTTCGAAAACCACCGATGCAGACAAGGCAACTATTATTTTATCACCTGAGAAGCCGTACATATAATGCGGGGGGGGGGGGGCTTCCGTTAAACTTGATGGCACCACTATCATAAATGTATAGCAGTAAGTATTTATTTTTTCGAGGAACCCTCACCGCTTGAGGAAATGGCTTGGGAAACATGAGGAGATGTTTGCTGCTAGTAATGAAGCCATGCGATGTGAATATATCTCAGCAATCCAATATACATTGTCAAGAGAATAATAAATATTCCCGAAAACATTACATCTTTTCCTGCTTGATAGCCCATTAGTCAAAACTTTGCTTGTTGAATACCATCCAATTGTTATAAAAACTGTAAGTTATTAAAAAGAGGAAAAAAGGGCGAAGTCAGTCTATAAATTAATTTCGTTGGGTAAAGGAAAATTCTAAATTAAAGGTTAGTTTATTATTTTTTTTTGTTTGTTAATAATTTGCGCGTTATTTGAAACTTAAACTAAATTATTTGGGAAAAGGGTCTAAAGTTTCGGTTTTTATGGCTATTTTCCAATTATACTGTAAGTTTTCTATAAATACATTCTGCAATAAATATAACATTATTAACTGCTTGCTTTATCAACCAACCAACTCTTTGTCTTGGAAATTTTTTTTGTGACAGCTGACATCTACGTCTTTACTTCATCTCCTACAATTCGTCTATACTATTTGCAATCACAGTACTTTTCAGCTTTCTACGACCGCATTTTCATATTACTATTTATTGATGCAAGCTGATGCTCTAATAGCAGATAAATTAAAGTGGCTAGATAAGTATTTTGTCATCAGCATTGCGTTTTATTATATTTATTATAATTAGTAGTATTCATATTAGTATCAGTTGTTAATATACCATAATAGCTTGTAATTGTAATGGACGTTGAATTATGCTGATTTTGTCTTAAAGTTACTGTCTACGTTAATTGTCAATAGCATATATTTATGGTTATTGCCTTCGTCCGACGCATTCACACCACATTCTAGTTCTTACGATCATAATGCAGACTCGAACTCTTGTTAGTTTTAGAACATCCGAGTCGCCCACGCGATTCCTTCTTTCGCTCCTAAGAGTGGCGCAATTTATTTATGGGTTAAGATTGGAAATTAATACTTAGTAGATTCTTTACTATACGCTATTAATCATACTTATCTCCCTGTTAACGTTCACAGTCGATGATATAATTTAGACTGGAAATTCATTCCTGCAATCAATGAGCGTTCAATTAGAATGTAGAATATAAATAACCACAACAGCCGTTATTTATTACACTACTATAGGCTTCAGAAATTGAAATTGTGAAAGAAAAAAATTTTTAGATTCAGGTCCGCTGACTTTTCAGGGACGAACGGACCTGGTCCGTTGGCTCGCTGACTTTTCAGGGACTAACAGAACAAGTGGGGGTGATGCGTTCAGCCTGTAGACAACATAAACAGGCCAAACAAAGGGTTAATCTGCCGATAATAAAACAACAGACCAGAGAGATTAAAAAATAGTCACAAGAGAGAATTTTTTTTGTTTTCTTTTTGCGGGAGGAAAAGAGTATAAAAAGAGAACGAAAGGGGACATAAATAAAGGGCGTATATAAGAAGGAACACATAAAGAATGAGTGTGTGTGAAAGAGATTCATCATACGCCTACACAAAGGTTTCTTATAACGTATTTATAACGTATCCTTATTATTATTATAGTCCCTGCTTCCAACTTGCCTGTTTTCCTGCCTGTGAATATAAGCGTGGGGAGGAGAAAAAAAAATTATTTTTCGATCCTCATTATCATTAGTTATTAAAGTATGCGATTTGGCAAGTGGAATGTAGCACAATGCCAACAAAATTGGCGCGTAACGGTAATCATTCCTGCATTCTTTCTCACGTGGCTCCGAAATCTACATGATATGATGTAATTTGCAACCCCAGTGATTGGTCAATAACATTCATCAAAAAGTGAAGTTTTTAGATATTGCATTTCGCTTCATTCGTTTTAACCTTAGAAATAATATATTTAGACCATGAACACTCAACCAGAGTCCTCCAACAGTAGGCGCCACACATACCGCCCTGCTACGGAATTAGTGTTTGTAGATTGTCCAGAGGGCTCTGGAGCTAATCACTATAATGCTGCATCGGTACCCATCTACCAGACCGCCACTTTCAAACAGACTTCAGCTACACAAACCGGGGAATATGATTATACACGTAGCGGTAATCCAACGAGATCTCACTTGGGTATGGAATCTATTTTTCTTTTCGTACAAGAGGTCATCTTGGCAATTAAGGTTTTTCATGCCATTGGCTGATTTCATTCTTTTCAATGATCCTAATAAAGTCATTTGTCCTTGAATAGAAAATCACTTGGCAAAAATCATGTCAGCGAATCGTGCGTTCGCTGTAAGCAGCGGAATGACCGCATTGGACGTTGTGGCTCGTTTGGTCAAATCGGGCGAGGAAATAATCGCTGGAGACGATTTATATGGAGGTACACTCACGTCATGATCAGTGTGCGATATCCGTTTCTCCTCTTTCCACCACCCCCCCCACTCTTTTTCCCTCTCTAACACTCTTGTAATTTACAGGCACAAACCGTCTTTTGACATTTTTGAACAAGAACTGCGATATCAAAACCCACCATGTCGATACAACAAACCCAGAGGTCATTCTTCCACATTTGCATCCAACTCGAACAAGATTGGTCATGTTGGAAACGCCAACAAATCCCCTGATTAAGATTTGTGACATTTCTACTATTTCGTCGATTGTACATGAGCAATGTCCTAACGCATTGATTGTGGTCGATAACACAATGATGTCGCCATATTTGCAAAAACCATTAGAATTGGGGGCAGATATTGTTATCCATTCGGGTACCAAATATCTCAGTGGCCATCATGACTTGATGGCTGGTGTCATTGCAGTTAAGGATAAAGTAGTCGCAGAGGTAAACAAGGAAGCATTTTATAATAAACGAATCTGCATTTTTCTTATTTTTGATCAACGCGATTGACGATTCATAACGACACACTTTAAAAATTGGTTAGAAAATTTATTTCACGATAAATGCAACTGGCTGTGGCTTATCTCCATTTGACTCGTGGTTGCTTCTTCGCGGGGTCAAGACGCTGGCCGTTCGTATGGATAAGCAGCAATCGAATGCCATGCAGATTGCCACGTTTTTGGAATTTCACGGATTCCAAGTAAGCTATCCTGGTTTGCAGTCCCATCCCCAATACGAATTGCATGCGAGAATGTCATCGGGGCCTGGTGCAGTGTTGAGTTTCACAACGGGGGATACTAGCGTAAGCGAACGAGTCGTCGAGTCGACTAAACTTTGGGCCATCAGTGTTAGTTTTGGATGTGTTAATTCGTTGATAAGGTATATATATATATATATGGATGTATGCCAAGTGCACTGGAAGCGTGCCCATTTTTTCTTTTTATTACGTGGTTTACCCGACTGTCGGCTTACTCGAATCATGTCATTTTTTGTTTGCAGTATGCCATGCAGAATGTCCCATGCAAGCATTCCGGCTGCTGTGCGTGAAGAACGAGGATTTCCAGAAGACCTCATTCGACTGTGCGTTGGAATAGAGGTAATGTAAATTCACCCGCATCTGTTTTATGTAATCAAGGGGAGAAAGCCTGCTTATAGAACAATCTAATATCAGGATGCGGCTGATCTGATTGAAGACTTGCATCAAGCATTGGTAACTGCGGGAGCGTTAAAAAATGATGACTTGCGAGAGGCTTGAAATATATGTTACACAGAGCCGTGCCAAGCCTCTTTTAAATACAACTTGAGAACATGTGCCAAATAATTTCTTTTATTTCACTGGTTCAGAACAAAAAGCCAACGTAACTAGTGGTAACCGGCAGGAAGTTCGTATATATATATACGTATATATATATGTATAGAGTCCTTACGCCAAAAAAAAACCAAGAAACAAATAAAGAACTTTATAACAACTAATATTCGATAATATATATAATATATAGTATAACAATAACAACATACACAACTTGACAACTCGATCCCACTTTATATAGCACGCAACAATGTCAAAGTATATGGCAAAGGGCGCTGTACGCTCAATGTATGTATTAATCTTTGTATTTGTCTGGCGTTCGAAAGAAGAGTAGTCAATGTTTATTTTGTATCATACAGAGAGTCTTTTCCCTTTCCAAGTCGATGACCGGGTTCACTCAAAGAGTTTACCAAGCACACGTTGACATGACATATACATATTGTACTTCTTTATAATGTAGAAAAAACTATACAAAGGGTTACTCCGAAATCCAGGCCAAAGTAAGAGAAGCTACTTCAAACGATCCATGGGGACCAAGCGGGACTCTAATGGATGAGATTGGTCAAGCAACTTATAACCAGTAAGTGGGTCACTTGTAGTGCAAAACTATGAAGCTAATCTTGTTACTTTCTTGAGGTATGTTGGTTGTTTTTGCGTTGCGACTGACTGCGGGTTTGTCCGTTTCCAAACAGCCAAAACTTTTTAGAAATTATGGAGATTCTTGACAAGAGGCTAAATGACCATGGAAAGAATTGGAGACACGTTTTTAAGGTGTCGTATTCTTGTATAATAAAATAAGACTTTTGATGTTTAATGTTTCAAAACATCACTTACATTTATTTCGATGAATCCTCATTAGGCATTGATTGTGTTAGATTATTGTCTTCATATCGGGTCTGAGGAAGTCGTAAAATATGCAAAGAAGAATGTTTACATAGTTAAGACACTCAAAGAATTCCAGTTTATAGATGAGTATGGCAAAGATCAAGGCGTCAATGGTAATACCCGTTTGTATTTCTAGCATGGAAACAATTCAATATGTACTTATTATTTTTTTTTGCTCTCATGATTGTTAGTACGTCAAAGAGCAAAGGAGATTGCTAATCTACTGGAAGATGATGAAAGATTGAAATCGGAGAGACAGAATAGAGCTAATATGAGAGATCGTATTCAAGGTAGCCGATATGATCCCATGAGTGAAACAGCGGATAGGAGTGTACCAAGTGACCAAGACAACGGTCCGTATATTGATGAAGACACCGAATTGCAGAAGGCAATTGAAGAGAGCAAAAGAATGGAAAGAGAAAAGAAGTTAAAAGAAAAGTAATTGTCAAAGGAAAATTTTAACTAGTGACAAACAATGAGGACAGTGCTGTTTATCAGATAACTGATCATTTGAATTTATAATCGCAGTCAGGAAGACGAGGAAAATCTACAAAAGGCTCTACGTTTGAGTAAAGAAGAGGCCGAGGCTGAACAACGTAAAAAAGAACAAGAACGGTTAGTTTTATTGCGGATATTAGATGATTATTGTAATTTCGTAACATTTAATAGACTTGATTCATCCATTATTAAATTTTTCCTGTTTGTTTTTTTAGCAGTAGCACGTTCCCTCAGCAACAGCAGACAGATATCTTTGGAAACCCTATACCCCTGGATTATAGCAAACCCAATCTGCTGGATATATATGATAACAATCAGAATCTATTCCAGGGCAATAATCAATTTATCAATAATCCATATGCACAGCAGCAGCAGCAACAACAACAACAGCAGCAACTATTACAGATGCAATATGATCAACAACAACAACAGCTATTACAACAGCAGCTATTACAAAACCAATATCAATTACAAGGGCAGCTAACTGGGACGTCGACTATTGGAACTAATAATCCATTTGCCATCACCGCACAAAAACAACAGCCACAACAAGCTAGCTATGCATTTGGCACTAATAACAACCTGGCTACGTTAGCGCAGTTGCAGCAGAGCCAACAACAAACCGGATATTCATCTGCTACTTTCCCATCTAACGCACAGAAATCCACATCATCATTTTTGGACTCATTTACCAGCACACCGCAGGTAAAATATTATTAAAGCAATAGCAAGAACCCCGAATAAGAGTAAGCGCTCTTACCATATTATAATTCTCGTCGTTCATACTTTACAGTCAACTTTGGACAGCAGATTACAGGCTCAACTTACTGGTGATAAACGACTGCCTCGAATGACAATGGTAAGCAGTTAATTCCTTTTTTGCGTAATCGTTACAATCACCTGTTGTCATAACAATTATACTTATTTATACTGGTAGGCGCAGAAGAAAATAAACGAAGAAAATTCGGTGTTGAATGATCTTCTTAGTTCTGGGTAATTAATTAATTAGTTAGTTAGTTAATTAATTTAAAGCTGAAATTTAACCAAAGTATTTGTTAATAATAACTTTGCTCAACAGGGAAGGGCAAGATACGTTCGGAAACCTTGGAAATCTTCGTGTCCCAGTGTAAGTTATAGTTATCAATTTTAATGTGGGCTATTTGGCCGGCGCGTACTACTTGTCGTGAACAGTCAATTCATTTATTATTGTCATAATTCATGCTAAATAGTGGATCAGGATTTGCCAATAGTGGCAATTTACTCGCTACTTCTGGACGATCTAATTCAACAGGTACCATTGGAAACCCATTTGCCAAAACTGGTAGCTTGAGTCCACAATCAACTGGTACATTTAGCTCACCGCAATTGGGTGGCGGTATAAGTACCCAACAAACTGGTACAAGTGATTTGCTAAGTCTTACGAGTGGGAGCGCATATTCATCAATTACTCAGGTTTGGAAAAAAAACAATTGAGAAATAAAGCGTTGCTCATGATTGATTTTATTGATTGAGTGTATGTTATTGTGTACGTTATTGTGTATGTTATTGTAGCCGGCCACACCGTTTTCAACAACATCCTTTACCAGTTCCAACGCGAATCCTAGTTTAATTGATTTTGATCATGGTTCTCAGAGTAACCGAAATCCATTTCAGGTATAGTCTAATAATTTTTATCTAAACTAAACGAGTCTAAATCTCATAACAACTGTAATTTTTGCGTCAACAGAGTCAGGGCTTTGGCACGATGGGTCAACCACAACAGAGTGTCACAGGGTCTTTCAGTGGCGGTCTGGGCTTACAACCATCACCGTACAGCAGTAATAACAACAGTGGATTGTTCTAGATAAAGGACTATAGATGTCACGAGTTCTGCGTATGTCATAGTTGGATGTATTGTTATTCATAAATTATACTATCATATATATTACGTTGCCTCCCCTCATATTTCTTTTGTATTGTTAATACCGCTGGATGCATTGTTCTTTTGATTGTATGTACACAATTAATAAACATTTTTGAATAGTCACCAGAACCTTTCACACTTGAGGAATGGGGCTGGATATCGCTTTAGCACGAGAAAGATGTATTACAGCCAAATGTAAAAATACATAATTTACAAGTGATATCATATTAATCTTTAATGACTTTTTGAGATATCAGCGCCTTGAATAATTTCATTACAAATGTCCTTTTCCCACAATAGTTCGCCACATAAAGCCCATAACCTTGGCACCCCCATTATTAACTCTATTAACACTCATCGTACGACAGACGTTTCTGGGTATCTAGGAGCAATAATCTCGACTGTTCCCTCTTCGACGAGAGACCTGTTCTTTGCCCTATTCTCAAGAAATGTGTGTAGAATAATTGCATTCCGGGTATTACATTTGTAAAAGAAGTCAAATAAGTCTCCCACAAATGGAATCAATCCTAGCTATTTGCGGAAGAGATGACAGTGAGAATGATAGTTATAGTGATACCGCCGATACAGAGACCGCAAAAGAACAGCAAGCCTATCAACTTACCAAAAAGTCTATCCAAACGTTCACCAGCATCTTGCTCACTACCATCTGCGGTAAGTCAGCCTTTTTTGCAGTATTAACCAACATTAAGGCAAGAAACACTCCAACAAAATCTCCAATTACGGGAATCAATCCTATTGACCAACAAGCGAACAAGGTAAATTTGTCAATTCCCTCTTCAATTGAACCATTCCCAGCCATTAAAATAGTAAGCACAAAAAATGAAAAGACCTACCAAGGACGGGCTCCAGGCCCACGTTACAACAACAACACGAGCAGAAATTTGTATCATATAATCGCGCTCGTTTCTTGACAACCTTTAGTACTTGCGCTTCGTTCTTTGTCAATCCAGGCGGAATATTCCATTTGTTCTTTTTGTCTCTTTTGTTCATCAGTATGTGGGCACTATTACTAGGTCCTTGTTGAAAAGCATCGGAACTTTCGGTCTGTGTTTTTGAATCTTGACCTTCCCTAATGTTCGATCGTAACGACTTTTTTATGACTGACTTTGCTATTTTCTGTGATATGCTCATTTTTAATTCTGTCTACTTGATTTCGAGCTTCTTTATGGCTGAATACCTATTGTATAGAAAAACGGTTTCACTTCTCGCGGTTATGCACACTAATTGTAAGGCTTTATATTTCAAAGCGTGAATACGTCATTAAGACAAAGTCTTTGCCAAGCCTTTGTTTGTATAAAAGCATGTTACGACATAAAGTCCGACAAAGTAAACATAAACGGAACTGTAGGGGTACAGTAGAGTTTTATTTTAGTTCTGAAAGTTGTGTTGAGGGATAAAAAAAGAAAGGTTTGTGTCTTCTATGATGACACACTTACGGGGGACAAGAAAGCCAATTTATGATAACCGAGGCAGTTCCCCCCCTGCAATATGCAGGTCGAGCTTGAAACGAATACAATATTGTGTGGAATAAGTCATTATGAGTACATTATGGGCGTCGTTCGCATACCATGATGTTTCGAAAGTTTCGTAAAGTTACGTTTGAGGCTTTCCCATTCTATTATAATAATTACTACTGCTATGTTATTACCTTTCACGAGTATGAGAAATGTCATAAACCGAGAATGTAGTAATGGTAATCATTTTATGTGCGAATTTCCAAGTTATAATGACGATCCATGGCGCTAACGCGTCAATCAAGTTTGCTCACTTCTTTGTTAATGTTGCCTCATATGCTGGGAAGAATAATAACTGCCCTTTTTTTTTTAACCATGAGTTATACCAAATTAGGTATGGGAAGGTCACATGAAAGCAAGTTTAGTGTAACGTCAAGTCGTTTATAAAGTTAGACTTCTTCAAACTTAGCATGTAGCATAAGCTTTACTTTCTAGCAGCGTCAATACCAAAACACTCTAAAGCTTTAGAATTAGTAAGCTGAAGGAATACTCATTAATGTCCCTACTTAACAAATTGGGATGGTGAATGGAGACAATTATATTAATACGTGGAATTGATGTTGTTTATGAGTCGTAGGCGTAAGACCCGACAAATAAATTCTTGTAGCATTTCCTTCTGACTATTTTATACTGACCAGTTTCAATAACACAACATCAAATGAAAAAGTGTATAATAATAATAATAAGCTTAAGAGATCAAACGCTAAGTATGTCAATCTAGAATAACATTTCAGTCCTAAACAAAGGATCAATTTCGTATCGAAATTAACAAGTCAATAGGCTCGCAACCATAGTTCTAGTAGAAAGTAAGCGTTCAGTATTTAAACAAATTACAAGTTACCAAACCACCAGTATAATACTGTTCAAATTGCGTTTAATGTTTTTCAGAATCATAATAATCTGAGAATAATGCCAGACAATTATATTTCTTTTCAGCAAGGCGTCAAATCTTCCCGGACATCAAACTGTGTAGAAAAAATTATGTTCAAATATTTGCTATACTTATCGGAAATATGAGTGCTATCGTCAACTGTGTGCTATGTAATTATTAATGGGTCAACAGCGATGCAAAAGATGCTGTTATTCACGCACGAATATTGTTACGCGTATCACGGGAACTTAAGCTATTAATATCATGTCATGATAATTACTTGACATGTGCATATTATTTATGTTTAATATTTCTTTCTAGTTACAACATTGACTATTAGAATATAACTTTTTCCTATTTGGGTAGATCTCATCCTAATATTATCGTCAGCTTGTATTTCATGCGTAGTATTCGGTAACACATGCAACCTTAGATGATACTCCATATAAAAGTTATCAATTAACATAAAATCATACATAATAATTATGCCTCAAAATTTTAATCTGTTATTGTCTTGCTTTTAACCAGACGCTTCGCAATTTTCGTGTTTTGTAAACAAGCAGAATATGTAAACGGAAACGTCAACGCCTTCTAACGTCCCTGACTTTAAAGTGTATCGCTTAACTGAAAATCAACACGATAAACTTAGGAAAAAGTTCCATACATAGTAAGGTACTGGTAGCTAATGTCGAGCTTTAATGTTAGTAACTAAGCATAAATTATTATAACTGGTAAATATAGTATTTCGTTGTGCCATGTCGTGAAAGTTGGATATCATTAAGAGGAAAAATAATTCAGCAGCATATAAGACAGCAAAAAGCTTAATCTGAGTAGAGAATAACGTTTCTTATTTAATTTACAAATTAAGATAGCCAATGAAACTAATTTTTATTCATTTATGCCATGCGCAAATAATAAGGAAAGTATTAGAATAACAGATTTCAAGTAAACGTGCTGTCGAGAACATATGCTTCTAAAAAAATTATTGTTATTTTACGCAATTCTTGAGACAGTATATTTCTAACGACACGAAGGCGAAAAAAAAATATCCAATGGGGTTTATGTGAGAAATCGGGTCGCACGAATCAACATACTGTAGTAATGCTGGGTAATTTATTTCCAAATACACAGTCAACCCCGTTAAACCGAAGGCGTCCGTTCCACCCTTTTTCTTCGGATTAGCGGGGTCTTCGGATTAACGGAACACCCCTGTAAACCGAAGCTTATAATACTGAACATGACGACTTCGGATTAGCAGGAGAAGTAACACGTAATTTGAATTTCTCCGTAAACAACTATTCTTGGTTAAAAAAAAGCGGACGTTTAAATCAATATTCGGTCACACTCTCGCATGTGATGTTTATTTGTAAAATCGGTTTAAAACTACTCGAAAATTACTATTTGTAAGTAAAACAACTTGGATTAATCAGTACTAAAAAAACTGCTAATTTCCGTTTGCACTTTCGAGTCAATAAGTGATTGATTTAATTTCCTGCTAAAACGTTTGAGCTCTACAAGAAAACTATTACTGACATCAAATTGTTCTTCGGCGTTTGTTAAAAAACTTGTCAACTTGTTGATCGAATCAGCGGCCTCTCTAGTTGTTACTTTAGACTCAATAAATTGGCATTCGTCGCGCATTAATTCAATTTTATTGGTTAAAATTATTTGTGCTACATTAATCTTCGGATTACACGTCGAGATCTTCAGTTTATACAGACATTGCGCCAGGAACAAGCGTATAAACTAAAAATAGAACTGTTAGTACGTACAAAAAGTGGTACTAGCACCTGACAAGAAATCAAGTTTTTATAGTTTCAAATAATTTTGCCACAAAAATTTTTCTCTTGTAACGTAGTCTTTAATAATATGACATAAATAAACAATATCGATGATATACACTAAATTTTCCAGCGGTTAATAAATTCTGTAATGGAATTCTTACTCGTATTGCCCATTGAACAGTTGTTTCATGGTAGATAAAGTGTCAAATAAGCTTTTATTATCGAAAATTTGATTGAGTTCATTAGCATAAGTTCCGCATTTATATGACACAGCATACTTCATACCAAAAACCAGGGCGATTAATATATGGCTTAGAAAGTGTTTTATCTTTTTTATCAATAATAGTAGCGATATCAAAACTAGACATATTTATTGATTAGGGTATTTAGACCTATTTAATTTAACCTTGCTAATTTCACTAATAACTATATACTCTAGAATATTATATTCATTTTTAGTGTGGATTGGTTATTAGATGAGTTATGTATATTCGTCGTATTTTGCGAGTGATATATACGATGAGAATAGGAGAGATCCATATTGAGTTGTAGTGAGAATTGTAGATCCGAAGGGTTATTACTTTAGAGTTGATTCTAAGAATTTATTTGTGACAATATATCGTTCTTGTATTATGGATATATTAATATGATTTAATTTTCCGGCGATAGATGTACTACACCCATCACACATCGATCAACAAGATATCAACCGTGATGCGATATATAACAAAAAAAATCTGGCTTCGAGCACGAAGTGTGACATCAATGTCACAGTCAATCGTATAAATTATATGAAAAATTTGAGAAATGTCCGCCTCCTGCAATGACATGACTCTATTATTTATACTCAGAAAAAATTGACGCTGTTATCAAGGTAAAGCCATGTGAGAGTTATTTCCGAAATTTTGCTAATTACATAAACAACGTCATTCTGAGACAAATTTAAAATTATTGTTGCATTAAAATTTTTAATCCGACCTATTATTCCTTTCCACAAATATTATTAAAAAGTCTAAACATCTTTTTAGCTCTTTCTTTTCTTTTTCGAAGATTGGTCTCAGTAAGTTTATCTTGTGCATAAATTTGTCCCCTAATTTTATCGTTAACTCACATTAGACGTGTTGTATGTCAGATCGGAATTTATGTCAGATCAGAATCTATGTCCATTCCGAACTGACATATGTCAGATCGGAATAATAAAGAACGACCTTATAAAAGTATTATATGACATTATGATATCAATTCTGCGTGCGTCAAAACAACTGCGTTTGTTATAAATATATGCTATTAACGTTGGTAAGTTTAAAATAAAAGATAAAATAATATATACAAGCACAAGGAACTTGTGGTATTACTACTTGTATTACGTCTTACATTATATTGTCTGTATACACTTAATCTTACCCGAACGATAAATAATATACGCGTAACAGATTATTGCCTGTCGACTGTGACAGTTAATATATATACTTCATAACATTTTGTTGCTCTCATATGTAATTATATCGCAACATAACCTCCGTCCAATCCCAAACCGTATTCACTTATGTAAAACATTGAAAGTTTAGAACGTTTATTTCGCATGTATTACTGTCATAAGGAAAATCGTATAAAACATGTGATCGAAAATGACGTTTATTCTCACAAAAACTGCACAACTTAGGCCAATGCCGGAGATTAGAAAGAACAGCAAAATTATCTTCAAATACTCACAAACGATTCATTCAGTGAAGGTAATTGAAGAGTTCGGCAAATCATACATAGTATAATATTGACTAATTGTACACATCGACTCGTAAGCTGACATAGAATAATCGTTAATTGTAATGTTAGCACAAACCTGTTTGGTAACTCATCAAACAAATAATAATATGGCTGTCCTATCATTCTGTTTATCGCTCAAATCAAATCTATGTAGTAAGCTATTACTAAATCTCCAACTGCAGATCTGTTAATTTCACA